TCTCTTGCCTGCCCTCCTGTACCACGTGCTGTTTCCACTGAGTATTCTCCTCTCGTCCTCTCCCGGGAGGGCAGTTTTCAGCTAGAACTTCAGGGAGTGGCTCTGTGGCATGCTGGCCATCGTGTGGCAGGGGACAGGATCCTGTGGGGCCAAAGCTGGGCCTCTGGGCAGACACAGTGATGCTGCTGGGGGGAGGGCAGGCTGGTGCGGCCAGGCCCTGCATGAGCTCGTTGCTAGGACACCAGCCAGCTTTCAAAGAACTCTGGCTGAATGAGATGTTTTCTTGTGCAAAAAGCCTCCTTGGAAATGTCACAGGGCAACTCTGGGGAGGGTGGGCGTGGCCAGGCTGGAGTGCCCAGCGGTGCCAGGAGGGTTGCTGGAGCGCGGCGTGGAAAGGGCAATGCTCTCCCCTCCTCCCGTTGGTGCTGGAGCCAGCGAGGCCTGCCTCCCAGCCCCTTACCTTCCCTCCTAGCTAACTTGCCGTGCCCTGCCACGTGAACCTTACTTTGTTCGTTCCCACCTCAGGGCCTTTGCACGTGATCTTCCCCTGGCCTTTGGCCCCCTTTCACTGACTTCCCATGCTGCTTCATAGCCTAGAGGTCATTTCCTCTAGGAAGACTTCCTCAGGCCCTTGCTGTGTCAAGCTCCAGGCACACACATGGTGTGCAGTATGTGATTGTGAACAGTAAATTTGGGGCCTGGTGGCCTGAGCAGGCAGAGGTGTTGGTTCTCTGAGTGGGAGGTTGGAAGGAGCTAGAAGCATGCAACTCAGCGGCCTGCCTTCAGGACCTCAGTCCCTGCCTGGGTCTGGCCCAGGTGAGCATGGAGAAGACCACTGTCCTGGGTAGTGGTGGAGGGACTGACCTTTCAGGACGAGCCAGAGTAGGTCAGGTGAAGAAAGGGATTGGGCCAAAGGATTGGCCTATGCAAAAAGGTCCGGGGTGGGAAAAAGCACAGTTTAGGACTTTCCCCGCTTTACAGATGGGGAAAACTGAGGCTCAGGGAGGATGGTCACTGAGGTCCCTTCAACCCCCTATGTGGCCCCAACCCACTGCCCTGCCAGGACCAGAGGGAATGACCTCTCAAGTAACTCAGGACCACAGGCTGGGCCCAGCCAGGTAGGGGCAGCAGAACCATTGATCCTTAGAAGGCCGTAGAGTCCCAGAACAAAGCTCTGTGGCTGGCCAATCCCCAGGGGCTCCTAATCGGCTTGGGGTGGCCTCCAAGAAGCTTGTCGTGTTTGTTGGCATTTCTCAGGCAAACCAGGGCAGCAAGTGTGGGAGGGGGCTGGACTGCCACGGGTAGCATGAGCTCTAATCCCCTGGATCCAGTCCTGGCTCTGCTGTGGCTCAGTCATGTGACCTGAGCATTCCTTGGGCTTTTCTGAACCTCAGTTGTTCCACCTGTGAAATGGAGCTGCTGGGTAGAGTAGGTGACCTGAGAGGCATCCAGGGTAGATGGGTGACCTCCCACAGCCCCACCCATTTGACCACAAGGCCCTACTCTCCCCTAAATAGAGGAAAAGAATAGGGAATGACGAATTTGGGTGGCTGAGAAAATGGAATATTAATCCATTCCTGTCAGGAGGGGGCTTTTCCCCCTTGGTCTCTAAAATCTCCTAAAATCTGATTTTGCAGGAAGCCAGCCCAAGGGAGACTTGTTTCCCTGGCAACCATTTTCCTCTCAGCCCCCTTTTGTACAAGCCCCCCTCTTAATCTCTGTAGAGGCTCATGAAGTTTCCATGGCAACAAGGACCTCCAGCCCCCACACCTGGAGCCCAGGCTGGGGACAGGGTGAAGCGGGCCCCTGGGCAGGGAAAGAGCCCAGGAGGGACATCAGGGCAATGGCTCCATGCCAGGCACTTAGGGCCGAGGGGCCAAGGAACAGAAAAGCCCATTCCCCTGAACGGCCCGTGTCTGCTCCTCAGGCCAGCAGGCACGAGGCAGTGCTGGGTGAATTCCCCTGCTGTGACCGTCCCATCTTGGTCCAGGAGGGCTCCGCATGGTCAGAGGTCCAACCAACCCTTTTACCCGGCTTGAGGATCCTAGGCCTCAGGTCTCTTCTGCTGTGTGGTCTTGGCACCCGGCTTCTTCCCCTCTCTGGGCCTCAGTTAGTTTACTTGTAAAGTGGGGATGTTGGACTCGGCAGGGGCTTCCAGTACCTCCCCTGCAGTGGCTCGGAGCTAGAGTGTCTGTCTGGGGTTGTTTGTGTCTGGACTGGAACATTCCTCCAGCAGCTGAAGGCGTGGGTCCCTTCCCCCAGGCATTTCTTTGCCTTCCTATTTAAACTCCTTAGGAGAGGAGCACCTTCTCAGGTTAGTGAGTTTATGTGAGCACAGGCAACAGCCCGACTTCAGTTCTGGTCCCAACGCTCCCCTTCGGTAGATGTGAGACCGTGGGATCATCTGGTCCATTTTGTCTCAGTTTTACATCTGTGACGGGGTGATACCAGACCTTTCTTTGGATTGTTGTGAAGAACGAGTGAGGGGATGCTGGCAAGGTGCTGGACGTGGACTGCAGCACCCAGTTCTCAGGGAAGGGGCTGTGTGGGGTCTCTGGCTGAGAGACAGTGGCAGGGAGAGAGGGCAGACCCTAACCCCCACCTGAGCTCTGGGCCTCCTGCTGTCCTGGGTTCTGCAGCCACCTCAGTCTTACCCACTGCCCTGAATGGGGTCTGGTTATGGGACCCTGTGTGGGCCCGCAGCTTCCAGGAGTGTGCAGGGTCACCTTCGATGACCTTCCCAGGCTCGGAGCTGGGTCTGCAGGAACTGGGCCAGAGCTCTCTACTCCCTGCCCTTCTGGCCCCATTATGTTTCCTGATCCCCCAGTCCTGCTCTGCGTGGGTTGTCAGCTAAGCCCCAGCTTGGTTTGCTGGCATAAGGTGGGCTTTCTTCCAAGCACTCGTGCTTATTAGTGAGATGGGGGAAGGCCCTCGAGGCCTGAAGAAGGGGAATTCTAATTATGTGAAATTGTACCGTGAACGCAGGTGGCGAAGGAGTGCTCCTTGAACCCAACACCCTCAGACACATCTCTGAGGAGGCAGAGACAGCCCTGGCCCCCCAGAAGAGATCAGGGTGGTATAGAAGGATCTGGGGGTTTCCCAGATGGCGCAGTGGTAAAGAATCCGCTTGCCAGTGCAGGAGATGCAAGAGACACAGGTTCAATCCCTGGGTTGGGAAGATCCGCTGAAGTAGGAAATGGCAACCTGCTCCAGTATTCTTGCCTGGAAAATTCCATGGACAGAGGAGCCTGGCGGGATGTAGTCCACAGGGCTGCAAAGAGTCGGACACGACTGAGAGAAGGGTCTGAGTTTCTTCTGTTTATGAAGTGGAGGTGGTTGGGCCTCGTGGTCACTCAGAGCCAGCGGTGGAGGTGAAAGCAGATGCAGGGGGTGCCACAGCCTTGACCTGGGGTTGGGTAGCAAAGAGCCAGTCTCCCTCAGAGGGAGTCTTGCTTGGCAGCGGGTGAGGCTGCCTGGGTCCAGGTATAGGCCAGGAGGCTCTGACTCACCATTTTCTCTGCATTTTAGGTCTCCCATGAGTTCGCCATCAACTTCAACCCCACCAACCCCTTCTGCTCGGGTGAGTGTCAAGCCCCCTGCATCAGCCCTGGTCTCCCTGGGCGGAGTACAGCTTTCTGTCTTCCGCACCTCTCCCCATCACACTTGCTCAGGATGGCAAATGGGGAAGAGGCTGCAATTTGGAGTCAGGTGGCCTGGCATTCAGGGCCAGCTGTGCGACTTGGAGAGGTCACTGCACCCCACTGGGCCGGTGCCACTTCACCTGCCCCAGGGGAGGGAGCTCACCTCACTGGGTAGTCAGGTGAGAATAAAGGGAAGTGTTGACAGGAAGCCCTGTGTAGGTCAGGAGGTGAGGGCAGCAAATTACACACCTGCTCCTCTCCCCTCCCTCCTGCCCTCACGGGGAGAGCCCAGCCATGTCCTGCCTGACGTGGGCAGGGGTGCTGGGCAAGAGGGAGGGGCAGGCAGCGAGCATGGTGTCTGTGCTCTCCGCGCCCCAGGCCTCAGAGGATTTCTGAGCCTCCCAGAATCAGTTAAGAAACAGTGAAAGAGAAGGGGCACGGAAGAGGGTGGTCCCTGACTCCACGAGAGCTTCTAGCTTCAACTGGCTTCAGATGGAGCATCTGCCTTCCCTGGGGATCCCTGAAGCTGGGTCAGGTTTGTATGTGAGAGGGGACTGCATCAGGTCACCACCTTAGGGACGATGCTGTGACTCAGAAGCCATGGGCCTCTGCTGACTGGAAGTGTGGTCCTGCCCTCCGGCTGGGGTCTGTGTGGTTTGGAGCAGAGAGAGACATTCTGTCCATTTACCTCATCTCTGGCCAGAGGCCTTCTCGACAGGATGGCAGGGCAGGCGGTATTCTTAGACTTGTAACGGCAGCTATTTACAGAGCACCGTCTGTCTGCAGGACTGTGCAAACCTTAGCCCCTCACCAACCCTAAGAAGCCATAGCATGTGCAGAATGGACCCCCAGATGGCTTCCTGGGACCCGAGTGTCACTGCAGGCTCTGCCCACTCCTTCTCCAAGAGGAGCCTGCTAGACCCCCTCTTGCCAGCTCACCAGCCCCTTTGACAGGATCAGATAGATTTTTTTTTTTAGGATCAGATAGATTTAAGTACCTTCCCTCAGGCCCCATGACTAAGAAGTGGTAAAGGCAGGATTGGAACTCAGGTCAGACTCCGTGTTCAGGGCTCTTTATTCCACCCTGGCCCTGCTCTGGGACCTTCCAGTACCCCAGGGCCCAGACTGGGCACAGCAGGGGTCTTTGGGTTGGGGGCAGGGTCAGGGAGGACCAGGCTGATCCAGAGTCTTCTCTTCTCCCTGAGGAAGGTGTGGACGGCATCGCCCAGGCATATTCGGCTTGCTTGCCCCACATCCGCTTCTATGGTCCCACCAATTTCTCTCCAATCGTCAACCATGTGGCCCGGTTTGCAGCCCAAGCCACGCAGCAGCAGACAGCCACGGTGAGTAGGTGACCACTGGTGTGGACGTGCAGGGTAGGGCAGGCACCGGCTGGGTGTTCTGCCTCTCCGTGTTCTAAGATCCTAGGTGAGCCCAGTGTCTCTCCACTTTTAGTTTACCTGCAGGGATGGGGAAGGGGTTGGGGGCAAGCTTGCCTTGGTTCCGGCTTCCTTGAGCACAGACTCCAGGACAGAGAGCCATTCCATTGTTTGTGCTTAGAGGAAAATAGGGTTGTGATTATTGGGAAGTGCCTTGATGGGCAGAGGGAAACCTGGGTCTGGGGTCCCTGCAGCCCCCACCTCACACTGAGGGCTTTGGAACTGTCTGGCCCAGGTCTGGTGGTCAGTGACAGGGCTGCTGTGTGGCATCTGGAATATACGGCAAACAGCTGTCCAGGGAATTGTGCATCCCAGCCACTCTCCCTCCCCTCCCCCTCCCAGCTTCAGGCCCAGTGCCAGTGTTGGGGCCACCTTGTCTGCCTCCCCTGCAGTCCACCAAGGCTTGTGATGTGAGTTGGAGGTCTGAACCCAGACTGGGAACCGGCACACGCATTGGGGTGGTGGAACCTGGACTGTGACTGAGGCCCCTGTGCCCTCGGTGGAAGGCGGCTTCCTTCTCCTCTGGAAGGAAAGGGTTGCTGCACAAGTGCTGAAGTCGCTCCTGCCTGCCCTTTTCACTCTGCCTTCATTCGCCAGCTGCCCCGAGGCTGTGGCCACTGTCACATGCCCCCACCCCTCCTATCCATGCTCCTGCTGACAGGTCCTTTAACTGTAGACATCAGGTCCTGCCCCTCCCCCCCAGCCCCACACTCCTTTCTTCACTTGCGTTGACCATCCCACTTCCACCTTGTTCCGCCCCTCAGAGACACCAGCTTGTCCTTTGTTCTGCCATCTCCTGTGCCTGGAGGTCCTTCCCGATGCTGGCTCCGTCCCTTCTCTCAGTGTCCCCTCAACTGCTACTTGCCTGCGGCCTACCCTGCACACTCACTCAAGCCTCTCTCCTGCCTTCTGCTTATGCCTGTCTTGACGCTGATGAGGGCGGCAACATCTCCTTCACATATTCTGCGTTTCTGTCTCTTGTGTCTCTCCTGTGTTGGACCCTCAGCCCCGTGGGGCCGTGCAGTGTGTGTGTCTGCTGTCTCTTATCTACTCCAAGGCCGGTGCTGCGGCAGACGCTTGTGTTCTGGGAATGGATGGATTTAAGTTGGCCCCTGTCATGTGCTGTGCACCCCACGAGGAGCTGGGAGGAGGTGATTCAGCCAGGGCCTCTCTCAAAGGGAAAGGGACCTGGTCCCATTCAGACTGCCCGGAGGAGGGAGGCACCTGCTGAGGAGGTTAGAGGTTGCCTCCCCGAAGACGGAGGCCAAGATAAGAGGAGGGGAGGTTATGAGAGCAGACAACACTGGTCAGCCTGGGGAGGGCAGGACAGCAGCACGTGGTGTGTGGGAAAGGGGGTCCTGGGGTCAGCCTGCCAGGGTGTGAATCCTGCCCCTGCCTGTTCATCACTGTGTGACCTGGGTAAATCGCTTACTCTCTCTGAGCCTCGTATGTACCATGGGAATAGTAATAGGACCGACCTTGGGGTGGTGGTGTTAGGATTAAAATGTGATAACACAACAGCTGGCAACCCGTGAGACCTGAGGACGAGGAAAGACAGGCGGCAGAGGGTTCTGGGGAGAGCCCCCAGGCAGAGGGGACAGCAGATGCCGGTGATGGACAGGAAGGAGGTTCGAAGGAAGGTGGTCCCGGTCGTTTCTGCTCCAGGGAGCATGACCTGCTCTAGTCCTGGCCTTGGTGGTAGCAGCTGACGGCTCTGAGCCTGTTTCCTTTATGAAACGGAACAAGCCCACCTGATGGGAAGTAACTGGGGAGGACCTGCGAGTTGTTTTTTTATGTTCCTGGGTTAGAATTGGAGGGGGCAGAGGGAGGGTTGCCCCTCACCTCACACACTGTTTGGATGCCTGCTGCTGCCCAGGCCACTGTCCCGCCTAGTCTTTTATCTGCCTGGACTCGCTTTCAGAGGGATGGAAGAATGGCCTGCATTCTTGTTTAAGCGTAAAAAATGGGGTGGAGCAGGAATGGAGCCCAGGGTTCCTCTTGTGCTCTTTCACCTGCCGAGCAGGGGCAGGAGCTGAGGTTCTGAGAAGGGGGCCAGTACCTGCTAGACCCTCAATCTGGAGAGGCTTGGGCACTGGGGACTGCCAGGAAGGTGTCTTTGTGTTCTGGGGAACAACTGCTGAGGGCCCTCACAGGGAAGAACTTGGTGCTTGCTCTGAGCCCATCTTGATCCTGACCAGTCCTAATCCTCACAATCCCCCAGCCCCTTTCGTCATGACCAGGTCCTTCCAACCCTGGCTCCCACACCCTGGGGAAGCACTGTCACCCACCCTGGGTGTGACCTCCAGCCAGCACCTCTGGGCTGCAAGAGGCCCCTCCCACTCTGCTGTCCAAGACGACCTCCTGCCTTCACTCTGTCTGTATCACTGTGTGCTGAAGGTGGGCCTCAAGCTCTGGGGGCCCACTGACCTGGCTTAAATCCCAGCGCCCCACTTCCTGACAGTGGGACCTAGAGCAGGGTGCTTAAGCTCTGCCAACTTCAGTTTTCTCATGTGTACAACGGGGATGATGGAATGCTGCCTGCCTAAAGGAAGCACTGCAAGGATTCAGGCAGATCGGCATCCAAACTGCTCAGCACAGAGCCTGGCACTTGACAGCCCCTAATCAACGTGGGCTGGTGAATCTTCTGAGGACGCCTCTTGGGCCGGCAATTGGTGATGCTGAGCTCATTTAGGCCTAAAGCAAAAGGAAGTGATCTGCGCAGTACCTGATGCTTTTGAACAGCCGCTGTTTGGGAAACACTTGGTGTGGCTTCATCCTCCCTGTCCCCGGCACACGAACATGCACGCACACCCACGCACAGGAAATCAAGAGCAGGTGGTGGAAGCATCTCTCCAGGCAGGCCCGCACTCTCCCATTCATTCACATAGCTTGGTTCTACAGTGTGTGTTTCCGTGCAGCAATGGGGAGACCATGATCCCAGGCTATGGCCGCTGCCCTCCCAGGGCCAGTGGTCTAGTGGGGAGCTGGGCCAGGAGACAGCAGCTGTAATGCCAACGGATTAAACCTGTGATGGCAAAAGCACAGGATTATAAAGGTGGCACCTACCCCAGACGAGGGCTCAGAGCTGGCTTCCTCGAGGAGTGAGGTCCAAGCTGAGACTTGGAGGCTGCTTAAGAGTTGGTCTCATAAAGGGTGTGTGTGTGTGGCGTGTCCCAGGCAGAGGGAACAGAATAGGGCAAAGGCTTGGAGGTGTGGTGTGTGGCGTAACTGAAGGAAGGGGTGTGATGTAAGAGGGGTGGGTGGGGGTAAGGTTGAAAGGTAGGCCAGGTCCCAGAGATGCCTTCTAAGCTAGTGAGGAACCTGGACTTTCTCTTGAGGGCAGTGACAGTCACTGAAAGATATTAAGTTTGGATGGGACCACGGGGCTCTTACTGTGGAGAGCTCCTCATCCTCCCCTCTGCTCTGACCTCTATGACCTGGGTCTTCCTATCCGTGGTCCATTGCTGGTTGGCTGCCTAGGCAACCAGTCCTAATGGTGGGTGGGGCAGGGGTAGGGGGCATGTGGGAAGCAGTCAGCACCCTGGGAATCTCCCTCCACTCCCCAGGGCCCTCAGCTGCCAACTTCTCAGAAGTAAGCTAGGAATGAGTGCAACTTTCCTGGACTCTGCCTGGAATTCTGTGGTCAAGTCAGTTTCATATAAATCAAGTCACACGTTAAATGTGTTAGGGGAAGTGACCATTTACAGCCTGAGAAACCTGAAAAACCTCTTGGGTAAGGGCAAGATACAGTCCATCCTTGTAATGTGTCGGAGATCTGGGATCTGGGTTTGACCCGGTGGCAGTTGGTCATGTTTATGGAGCACACACAGGGTGCCAGGCCCATGAGATACAGAAGGCCTGGGGGAGGGGCTGCCCTGAGGAGCTCTAAGGGTGCGGGGGTGGGGTGGGGGGAGAAGTGTCCAGAGGAGTCCTCCCCACGTGGTATTCGCTGGCAGTGGAAGCAGAGCTCAGGCCTCCGGGAGCCTTGGAGCTGTGGCTGGGGAGGGTTCCCAGGCAGGAGGAACACCAGGAAAGGCACGGAGGTGGGAAAGCTTGGGGTAGGGTAGACCAGGACTGCCTGTGGGGACAGCAGAGGCCCTGCCCACCTCCTCCTGCCTGACGCCTCCCTTCTTTCTCCCCTTCCACAACATCCTTCCCATCTCTCCGTTGATGTCTTGGGGATGGGGTTGTGGACTCCTGGGGTTGGAGTGAACCTTCGGGTTCCTGGACAACCTCATTTTTGCCTGGGACGGGCTATGAAGCCTAGGACTTGTCAGCGGCACTTCCAGTGCCAAGGCTGGCCCAGGCTGCTCCCCGGCGGGCCCAGCTGCACAGATGCTGAGGCCTGGGACATAGGTGCGGGCACTGTGGGTGTCTGGCTGGTGCACAGGAGTGAGAGTTGAGTCCCATGCCATACCTCTGGGCCCTGCCCTAGGTGGCTGTCCTGGCCATTCAGGCCTCCTGAACTGGGGCGCTGGGGGAGAGGGTACAGAAACCTTTGCCCTGCCAGGCCCCACTACTGGAGAGAGAGCTACTGAGCACTGATGCCATTGTGGCAGAGCCCCAGGCTTGGGCTTGAACCTCGACTATGCCCTTCCTGACTGAGTCCTTGAGCAAGTCATTGAACCCGTCAGCTTGTCTCCCCATCTCCAAAAGGAGAATCCCAGAGTGAGGGTGACAGGGAGTGTGTGTGGTCACTGCCACCATGACTCACCCTTTTAGTTGGTGCCTACAGTTCTGCAGGAACCAGGGCCTGCGGGCTCCAAGTCTCCAAATGCAGACACGTGGCTGGCTGAAAGGGAAGAGTCAAGAGGGCCGTGTCAGGAGGAGGGTGGGAGACTGTGGTCTGAGCTGGACGGGGCTTGGAAACCAGCCCCACCCTCTGAGTGGAGAAGCCTGTCACCCACGGCCAAGTGTTCTTTTCTGTCCTCATAGCCAGGCTTCTCCTGCCAACTTAGGTACCCCAGAAATACTGTCCTGGACCATTTGTGGTAGGATAGCAGTGGGGTGAGAGGGCCACAAAGAGAAGGGGGTGTTGGCTGGCTGGGACGATGGTGGGCTGTGAGGGGACAAGAGTGTGGAAGGGCTTATGAGGTGACCCCCAACTGGAGGAATGGGGACTGGCAGCAGCAGCCTCCACTGCAAGGATTCAGGCTGCCATCTCCATAGCAACAGGTATCTATCCCCAGCCAAGTGATCAGTCTCTTAAAGGCACAGTGCAGAAGTTGGATTACTGTTGGGGGTTGGGGCTTAGGATGGTGGGGTCCATACCTCCATGCGGTTCATTCCTGCCTTCCACAGCTGTGTCTGGGGACAGGCAGGAGAGTAAGGAATCCTTGATGGCTGAACTTGTGGTCTCCATATGCTTCCCAGGCAGCGAAGGGCTTTGCTGAGTGAGAAGGTGGCCAGATGCTGACTTGGGAGCTGGCTTGCTTCTGCCCTTTTTACCTCTATGACCTTGACTATTCTGGGTCCACATCGCCTCTCCTAAGAATCAGAAGGGTCAGACAAAAAGGCAAAAGCCCTAAACAGAGACTGTTAGGACCACAGGGGCTTTTCTGTTCATTTTATGGATAGGGAAAACTGAGTCCCCAGAAGGGGTCAGGGGAGGCTAGGCACAGAACCAAGTTGAAGATGAGATCTCAGGCAGCTGGGAGTCCAGTGAGCTTTCCTGAACTTGATTCACCTACCCCCCACCTCCACAGTCTGTGCTATGGCCACCTATCACCTACACTAATTATTATTCAGTTTTTTTTTTCCACTTAATTTTATAGAGAAACTATAACCCACTGTACAGGAAAAGTTAGTTATTGTTTGCTAGGATAGAGAGTAACAATAAAAATAAATACATCAGGCAGCACAGTGGTAGCAAGATCTACCTAGAGACTGCTATCTCTGGAGCTCTTAGGTTCCTGCCTTCTCTTTGTTAATAGGGTGGGTTAGCAAGTGCGACATACTGGCACCAGACAGACTTCCTCCTGGGTACAGTTTGTAGAATTCAAAGACCACTGCAAAACCAGTACCCTCCCCACTGTGACTGATGCTGTGTCTGGGGTGTGCCCAGACTCTGCTTGTTGCCAGCAGACCCCACACTCCCAGAAGCACTGGCCTAGATGAACTGCTTAGCTCCTACAAGGTTGGCTGTGCTGACAGGGAATGAGCAGGGTCACAGGTGTTCACCTGCAAGTGGAGTAGAGAAGGGTAGGCTGGTCTCAGAGTCCACAGGCCAGAAGACATCTTCCCCAGCAGCCGTGGGCCTTGCTCTGTGGGGGTACGGCTGTTAATTACTGAGCTGCTACCACGTGGCTGGCGTGGTCTCTTTGAGAGGTGTGGAAACTCCCATTCTGCAGATGAAGAAACGGAGGCACAGCCAGTTGAGACAGTGGCCCGGAGTCCCACGGTGTAGCCACTATCAGAGCCAGGCCTGGAGTCTGGAGCTCTCAGACTCCTGAGTTGGGAAAGGCAGAGGAAGAGAGCAAGCAGTCTGTGCTTCCGGCTGTGATAGAGGCCTGCAGGGCCCGAGTGTGGAGGGAGGCGCTGCGATCTGGCAGCAGCTCTGGGAGGAGCGCAGCCTTCCTCCCAGGGGTCAGAGGGGTTGGGGCGGGTGGGAAAGGAGGGAGGGGAAGGGTAGCCAGGGGCCCTGGGCTGTGCTGAGTGCCTGCTGACCCCCTCCCACAGCAATACTTCATCCTCCTCATCATCACGGATGGTGTCATCAGTGACATGGAGGAGACGCGGCACGCCGTGGTGCAGGCTTCCAAGCTGCCCATGTCCATCATCATCGTGGGCGTGGGCAACGCTGACTTCGCAGCCATGGAGTTCCTGGACGGGGATAGCCGCATGCTGCGCTCCCACACAGGGGAGGAGGCAGCCCGCGATATTGTGCAGTTCGTGCCCTTCCGAGAATTCCGCAACGTGAGTGTGGGAGCGGACTGGGGAGGGGGCAGTTACAGGACCCCAACCAGCACAGTTGTTAACAATCCAGGATGAAGGCGCTGGGATTGCCTGCCCAGTCCTAGGCTCCTCTACCCTCAGCTCTGTTGACTACATACTTCCTGAGGGCCTACTACGTGCCCGGGGCCATGCCAGGCCCTCTCCCCAGGTGAGGCTACGTGACAGTTGCTGAGCACTTGCTTCAGCAACTCAGGGGAGTGGTGCCTAATCCAGACTGAGGGCTTCAGGACAGGGGTTCCAGGAGGACCTGCCTTCTAACCCTGAACCAAAAGTCAGAATTATCCATGTGGGGCAAACCATCCCAGGAGAAAGAGATGAGAGCAGAGGCCCTGAGGTGCTTTTGAGGGGCTTTCCTGGGATTCACAGCTCACCAGCCTCCTCACCTCAGGTGGAAAACAAGGCCCACCCCTCAATGGCCTCCTCTCCCTGAGGGCTTCTCTAAGGGGGATCTGGAGGCCTCCTACGCTCCTGGAGGTGGCTCTGGTCCTTCTGCAGGGGACCAGGTCTGCTTACAGGGAGGCTGGCATTAACTTCGTGGGCACTGCCCTTGCAGCAGGGCCCACAAGCAGCCCCCGAGGGAGCTCTCAGATGCCACCCTGCACTGCCAGCCTGGAGCCTACCTCTCATTTGACGAGAGGCACACTGTGTTCCTCTCCTCCTGGCCTCCGCGGCCTCAACCATAAGGACTTCAGCGTGCTGTGGCTCAGGTCCTGGGAGCTAGTTCCTGAAGAACTGCCCACTCCAGTCTGGAAGCACTGGTACTCACCTCTCTGCCCAGGACCCTGTGGGTTTGCCTGAGCTGGTTCAGTTCCTTCCTCTGGAGTGTGAGCTTCCTGAGGACAAGTGCTGAGCACTGCCCACCCAGGCACCGCACAGACACTGACCGAGCTCCTGGTGTGCCCGGCCTGTGTCTGAGTGATGAGCAGCGAATCAGTTGCAGCCCCTTGATCCCGGCCGAGGAGGAGATCAGGGACTGTTTGCAAGATGAGTAGGCTGTGCAGCCCGCGTCCACCATCTCTTTCCCCCAAAAGCCTCCTATAGACAAATTCATCCTGAAATGTTACTCCTGGGCACGTCGCGTGCTCAGGTGAGTCACACTTAGTGTCAAGGCAAAGGAAAGCGCTGCCAAAGGTGGGATTTCAGGCTTGGGCTGGACTGAGGGATGCTAGTTTTAGACAGCTCTGGTTTTCTGGTCTAGCTTGTCCTCCAGGGACACCTTCTATACCAGCTGCCTGGGCGTGGTGCGCCTCCCCACTTCATCCAGTAATCCTCTCTCTCTCCTCACTCTCCACCCTACCCTGCAGGCGGCAAAAGAGACCTTGGCCAAAGCTGTGCTGGCCGAACTACCCCAACAAGTTGTTCAGTATTTCAAGCATAAAAACCTGCCCCCCACCAACTCGGAGCCCGCCTGAGTGCCAGCCCTTCCCCAGCAGCAGCATGCCGGCTGGGCCTCCTGCCCTCCCCAGGAACATGCACGTTCACCCTGCTTCCTTGTGGGTGGCCCTATTTTTTTTTTTTTTTAATGATCCACATTTTTATTTTTTACAACCGGACCTCCACCCCCAACTTCCTCCTGCCCAGCTGGGCTTCCTTTGTTGGAGTTGACTGATGATGCTTCCAGGCCAAACTGGCTTCCTCTCCTCCTCTTTCCACCCTCGCCACTCTTAAGTATTGAATGTACTTTGTATAATTTTAGTGGAATTATTATTAAAGAGAATAAAATTTTTACAATCATAATTGGCTTTTTCCAAGTAACTAGCTGCAGACTCAACGGAACGTGTCCCCGGTGCCTACTCTGTGGTAGCCTGCACCTAATTCCTGCTGTTTTTTATACTGTGACCATGTTCTATTTGTTATACTCAGGGTAATAAAGGAGTTTTGGATGTCCCTGTGTCAGCTCCTTCCTCAGCTGGGACCTGACAGGCTCACTGATCTGGGAAAGGAAACAGGAAAATGCCTTTCCCCCAGCAAGCCTGTGAAGTCGGTACCATCACCTCTACTTGGGGACATGCATTCCACACAAACAGAATACAGCTGTTAAACTGGCACACAGCCTGGCACATTGTGCATGCTCAGTAAACATCTGCGGCAGGATGGAATGCATGAGCCCTCACCAGTGATCACAGGCCTTCTGGGCCCCGGCAGAGCCCATGCTGTCCCGGCCAACACACATGGTGCCCTGCCCTTTTCCCTCTTGGTCCACACCCTGGCCTATGTCTCCCCAAACCTGCTTCCCCCCACCACAAGACCGTAGTCGCTGCCACCTATCTGCTCCTCCTGGAGATCCTCCAGGCACTGGGGTACACCCTGTGGTTTACAGCACGTGAAAGCCTCTCTGGCTTCAGAATGCTAACTAAACAGGGCTGCTTTTGTCCCGGTTGCAGCAGCCGTTGGTTTCTCTCACATGCCCCAACCTGGGCTCAGGCCCAACCTCATGAAACTAGCCAGGTGACGCATCTCTGAAACCCCAGAAGTCCAGTTCCCTCTCAACATAACAAACACATCTTTCTCTCTTGTCCACCTCCTCCTTGGAGGTCCAGTCAGCCCCTACCCCACAGGCCTGAGTGCATCCAACAACAGACATTCATATTAAGCATTAGATTTCCAGCTCCCTACTAAGCATATTACATGCATAATCTTGATGAACCCTTCCACGAGCCCCTGCCTATGACCATTTCAGAGAGGAGGAAACAAGCAGAGGCTAATCGAATCTATTAGAGGCAGAGCCAGAACTTAGCTCCAGGTCTGGCCAACTCCAGAGTCTGCACTTGTTCAACTGCATTGACTGTCTTCCTGAGACTCTATAAGGCAGTCTTCTACTCAAGCTGCTAATGAAATTTGCCCTTCCTCTCCAATGAAGTGGGCAGTCAGTTAACTTACTCTCCCAGGTCAGCAATTCTTACTAATGGCCTGCTAGACCAGGATGGTGCACCAGGCATGTTCCTACCTCCAGGTTCCTGGTAAGTTCAGGAGCCGGTGTCCATCTGGTGGGAGTGAGCGAGGGACATGTATATCTTAGGCTTCTGATGCCTCTGCTGATTCCATGGCCACCAAGTCGGTTGAAACATTTTCGAGGGACATCTTCACTTCTCCTGAGAGGGCTGCAGGACTGCAGGGAGCCTCAGTGACCTTTGGGAAGTCACAGCCCACCAGCCAAGGGTCATCCTGACCCTATGGATAGAATCCCAGGAGTGGCAACTCTGGTTCATACCCAGCCCTTGCTCAGGCCGGCTGCAAGACTGCATGGTGGTTGAAATAACACCCCACAACTGCTGACTTTACCCTCCTGTTTGGTAGCTGAAGTGAGTCTAGATGGATGTCACATCCAGGGAAGTTTGTACCCAGTTCAGCCTGGGAGAATCTGTCAAGTTCAGATTGACCAGAGGCTTCTCTAGTGGAACAGCCTTCTCCTCCCAGCCCCACATCCTCTCCTTAGGCCCCAGGGGATGGGTATATTAGGAAGACACCTTCTGATGCAGACCTCTCCCTTATACCTCCCCTTGTGAATAATTTACCAGACTGGTGAAGCTATGCAGACTGACATCTGGGCAGGTTAAGGCAAGTCCCTACCTTGCATCAGGCCCATCATAAATGCTCAAACTACTGTGGACCACCTACCTCAGGGTGCTGTCAGCAGCCCCCACTTCACTGCTGCATGAGGGAGCAGATCTAGTCATGTCTTTCTTCCCCCTTCTCTGCCCGATTTTGGATGGATCAGTCAAGCAAGCCCTCTACTCCCAGTTGGTTTGAGTTCACCGGGGAAAGGAATGTACTGAACTCCTGATCAGGTAAATCACCACTTAAAAAACAAACCAAGATAAGTCAGTCCTGGGGATGTAACATACACCATGTTGACTATAGTTAATAATACCAGCTTGTATATTTGAAACTTGCTGAGAGAGTAGACCTCAAAAGCTGTCATCACAGGAAAAAGATGGTTTGGTAACTGTGGTGATAGGTCACTTCACAATATACACAATATTGAATAATTATGTTGTACACCTGAAACTAATGTAATATGTCAACTGCACTTCACTAAGAACAAACCATGCCTTGGTGCTATTTGCTTCTTGCACATGGATAGCAGGATGAAAAGTGAACTCAGAAATCTGACTAAAAGACTCCTTCACTTGAGTCATCACCACTGAGGCCTGGGCACTAGAATTTGTTTTAAAGTTTCATTGAAACCACAGAAACCCAGACTTACAGGCTCAAATTAAGATTCTGGTTCTGACATTTACCTGTGTGACCTTGGGCAAGTCACTGAATCCTGTGAGCTTTAGCTTCCTCTATAAAATGTAGAGAAGGGCTGCTTCACGGGACTTTTTTCAGGAGGAAGACACTATTGTCTGCAAACATCCCAAACATCCCTGGCCCATCCACAACGGGCCCTCAGTAAATGCTGACCGATGAACAAATCAATGTAAGGGATACGGATGTGCATGACCATGTGTAAAACTGAAAGAGACGTCCAGCCGATAATCTAAAGCTCAGAGCGAATGTTGTCTCTTGGTCATGCTGTCTGTCCATTGCTCCGCAGAGCACTGATGCTGGGACCCATTCTGCCTGTTCGTGCTGTGACACTCTTCTCCCTAAACCCTTGCTCCAGCAGGTAAGGGAGCAAAATACCAGCCCCTGCCAGCATCACTAAGGCAAGAATGTGCAACTGGCTTCTTGTGTTCAATACTATGGAAGTGTTGCCAAGATCTAGCCTCCCACCAAGTAGAACTTGCATTCCATACTGTTACGCCTAAGTGGGCTGGGCACGCCAAGAAATCAAGAAACATCCAAGTCCAAGTGATGGTGCACTGCCACCAAGCCTTTTCTTTTTGTTTTCCTGGAGGGGCTTAAAGACGACAGCTGAGCCATATACCCACGGCTAGGACACCCGAGCCAAGGAACTGGGTGTGCCTGAGCAATTAACATTTAACTGAGAGGAAAGCACCAAGGAGAAGCAGGCGGTTGGAGCTCTGATGGCCAGATCTGACCCATCATCACGTCAGTGTTCAAACTACAACTGAAGAATGCCAGCAGGATGGATAAACCTGCCATAAAACACCACTCACAGAAACTCTGGACACTCTACCCAGATGGGGGAGGCCGAGGATAACAGTACTACCATTAGGATGGCTACCATTTACTGAGCACCAGGTACCACACCAAGTATCTAATCCAGATCATCTTTCACCCTCACTTGTGAAGCTAGTATCCTTATTCCTATCTACCAAGGAGGAAACTGAGGCTTGGAGAGGTTAAGGACTTTGCCCAAGTGACTCAGCTAGTAAAATGTCTGGCTCCAAGCACATAGCCACTGTGATATATCCACAGAAGGCAAAACCAGGCTGGGATTCCTGGGAGGTAGCCAGAAGGGAATAACCCACAAGGTGAAGAGTGAAAGAAATGAGAATGCAAGGGACTAGCCTAAGCCACTCCTCATTAGGGATTTGACTTTCAGTCTAGAATGCTCCTGAAAAAGTCTAGAATGCCCTACCAACTCTGGGTTTGAGAAGTCAGCCTTCTCTCCTCCTGGCCACAGAGCTGGCAACAGCATTCCTCATAGACAAGCTTTCTCCCTCACAAGGTTCAAAGTTGTAAGAAGACTACCACTCAGGACAATGCAACAGGTTTTAAGAAGCCACCCCAAACCCCAGTTTTATTCCTTATTATCTGGTTATAAAATCCTAATTATCTACTAAGGCAGGAGCTGCATTTTGATTTAGGCAGTGTTTCCTTCCATCTTTGGGTTTGAAACACACAGTCTACACTAGATGTTTTTCCAGGGCAGCTTCCTCCACTGGGCAGACCAGACCCTGCTTTGCTATTGGTGGTTTCTACAGAACCCGTGTCTCAGCTCCAGGGCTCTCCACTAACAGGTATGGTGAAAGATGAAATGATCACCAGTGATCTTCAACTGCTCTTGTGACATAAAGAGCAGAAATCTCAGCCTGAAGAGTCTCAACCTCCTCGACACAATCTAGCTGTTACAATGGATGGGGAGGGAGTTAGAAGCACAAGCTCCAGTACAGGAAAAGCAAGGTCTTGTTCTCTGACAGGTGGATTAGCTTTCAAAGTAATATAGATTTTTAACCCATGGAACCCTTTTTCAACTTCTCCCAACATCAACAGAGGCCATGAGGCATAGTAATGGCCTCTGAAAAGTCAAACCACATGAAGATCGTGACTTTGGCTCCTCTGTCTGCCTCCTGAGATGATCTGAGGTTGCCCTGGGTACGGCTGTAATAACAACAGCACAATCGCAGGAACAATGAAGCAAAGGCAGAAGGTGCCTACAGTTTTACCTCAGTCTTGTTTGTTAGGATGGAGCTGATGCGCCTGTACTGACAGTCAGGAACAATTAGCACAGAGCAGCTCTGAAAAGGAAAAAGAATTCACAAGTCATCAGTTATGGGTGAAGGGAAGTCACCATCTGCCAGCGGGCACCAGTGTGTCAGTGCTTTGGGAGGGAAAAGGAGTGGGCTGGAAGACATCCAGGGGCCTCTCTGCCCACGAAAAAACAGAGTAGCTTCTCTGCCTGCCAGCAGCACAGTGTCAACACATTCTGCGTGTCTCTCTCTGTCTCACACCCAAGGAAGTGGAAACAACTGACGTACCAACCCAAGGGGAGAAAGAACTCCATGGGCTCACTCCTCTGAAGCAGGGGAGCCTCCAGATTGCTGTTGTTAAAAGCTGATGGTCACCTCTGTCCTCAGTGCCTCCATACCTTGTCTCCCCTTGTCCTTCCTTCCCTCCCAAAGGGAAAGCCTCTGCCCCGCTTTAGGAGAGGGGTGGAGCAGCACCTCCGGGGCTTGGCTGCTCTGAATGGGAAGAGCAGCGCAGGAAGGGCAAAGCAGAGGAAAAGACGAGGGCAGCACCTTTAGGTGAGAAACACTTTCCACAGTTAGAAGCCACAACTATAAATGTATCCAACAGAGAGGGCGGTGTCCCGCTGACTTGCAATACTAGAATCAGGAGCTGCCAGAAATAAGTCATCTTGTCCACACACTATCAGTACTTCTGATTGCTGGCTACAACAAAATAAGGCCTATGTTTGTTTCTCTAAGATTTAGAATCTTAAGCGGGATTAGATGGAGGGAGAAGGGATAGCCAAGTGTAAGAAAAAACTTACCAATGAACAATAAGTGTTAAGTGACACCCCCTATGGACATAGTTTAGAATCTTTACTTAGTCACACAACATCAAGAATCAGCTAGTTCCAGGGCCTTGCACGCTGTTCCATTAGTAGGGCTCTCCTCTCCCCACCCCCACCTGCCACACACTCCACAATGCATTATAATCACTTAGAATAGAATGTTTAAATGATATCTGTTCAATAAACTGTCCCTGTTTCTTAATGATGTTGGAAAAGGAAAAAGAAAAAACAAGAAGGCAACAGAATCCAAACTCTTTGCAAGCTGCTTGGTACCTATCTTCCCAGGGTGTTTTTGGTGAAATTTTGGCTGGGCCGAAATCTATATCAGTGAGGACAGAGGTTGCAGGACAGCTTTGGGCATCTATATTGGAGTAGAAAGAGAAACCAAACACAAGTCTGGCCACAAGTGGATTCGGCACATTTTTAGATGCAGTTAAAAATGTCACGGTGTGCATGAGGAGCAGGCAAAGGAGTTTTCTGTGGGAAGTAATGCCTGTAGGCAGAATAAACTGTCCAGTCTACTCTTGGGGAGGAGCACCCTGCGATGAGAACAGAGGAGCTAGGGGGCCTCAAGGAAGGTGTTGGTTCGGAAGATGGAGGAGACAATCTTGCCCGTGGCGTTGATAGTGCCTTCGCTGTCTGAGCTGGATTCAGAGTCGCTGCTCCCGGAGTAGGCACCCAGGCCCGGAAGGATGCCAATACAGACAGCTGCAGACGGGCAGTGGATGGAGGGACTGCTCAGGGAGGTGCTTCCCAGAGACACGCAGGACGGGGCTTCTGCAAAAAAGCAGGTGGGATTGTTACTTCAGCACCCTTTTCCAAAGTTGATGGCCTGCTTTCCATGTGTTGAGGGCTTCACGTTTGGAAGCCTCAAAACAACACTATGCAGTCAACACTATAGTCACACTCATCTCAAAGTTGTGCGCCTCGTTTGCAATTGAGAAAACTAAAGCCATAGCAGAGAACATTTTAAGACCATGTAGGATGTCACCAAGTAGCTGGGGCTCTTCTTGCCCAAGGAACCTCATGGCCTCACCTCTATGACAGAAAGCCTCAACCTAGAAAACACAGGACTTGAAGGTTAGAGGAAAAGTTAAGGACTCTCCTCCACCCCTTCTTCTTCCCTGTTTCAGTCTCATTTAATCACTAAAACAACCTGGTATGTAGGGATCCCCCACTTTGCTGATGAGGGAGGTCCAAAGACCCGCCTAAAGTTAAAGGCCACTTACAGTAGAAAACATTACACTAAGTCTAAATCAAAAGATAATGTTCTAAAATGTTCCCAGAGCCCACTGCACAGTACGGCTGAAGTTCAACTCATTGTCTCAGGCTGACAAGCATATTCCCTTCTAGGGTTTTGCCTTAGCAAGCCCCTAACACCTCATATAAATGCGAAAAGGATACACGGTTCCAAGTAGATGAAATGAGGAGTAAGTAAAAAAATACCACTGAGAAGCAGACGGAGATCTCAACCAGTCAGTACACAGAGTTCATCTGCTCATACAGGAATTACCAACAAGGAAAAAGCAAGCTGCTAAAGGTAAGCAATGTGAAAACATGGAGATGCAGAAAAGTGACATGAGAGTTGACAATGACTGCAGAAGAGGTGGTAACAAGGTTACAAGAAAACAGACAAATATTTACAATTAGTATCACAAAAGCTAACTTCTTTATGATATAAAAAGTTCTTCCAAAACCAACAAATCAACTAAATAGAAAAGCAGACAGAAGAGACACAAACAGTTCACCAAAAAAGAAACAAATGACTTTAAAGCATAAACAATATGTAAGGAGAAATAGGCACCTATATATGTTGCTGAGGGAATGTAGGACAATGTGGCCATGTTCTTCACACTTAAATGATATTCACGCAACACTGCTGATAACAGAAACCAAAAGGTGGATTAATAGAGGACCAATGTAAGGGACTAGTATCCAGCCATTATGAAGAGTAGAGCATCTCTGTGTGTTCTGGTATTCAATGATCTCAAAGATAAAATAACTTCATTCCACACTCTTTTGTCCTTTTTCTATTTGTTATTATGTGCATATGACTACCTAATTCACACAATTTTTAAGAAAGCCAAATGCAAAAATTCAAAGAGTATCCTAGGGTACTTAATTAGGAAGGACAGTCCGTCTAGCTCCATAACCCCTGTATTATAGCCAGGAAGGCTACAGAAGACTGATAGTTCTAATGTCTCTTTTCCCTATCCAATCCCCTGGGCACAGAGCAGGACAACACTCATAATGTGTGAGAATGCAGGAAAATGCATTAGAGAGTTTCATTGCAAATGGCTAGATTTTGGAGGTGGGAGTGGGAGTGAGGAGAATGTGAAAATTTAGGACATAATATCAAACTGTATCTCATTCATTACCTGAACATTCATTGTATTACTATGCTCACACATACAATGATACTTTCAGCATTCTGTGAGAAACTTTTGTTTAAAAAAAAACCCTGATATGTTAAAAAAGATGGTAAGGATAACCCTATATGCAAAACAGAAAAAGAGACACAGATGTACAGAACAGACTTTTGGACTCTGTGGGAGAAGGCGAGGGTGGGATGTTCTGAGAGAATAGCATTGAAACAAGTATACTATCAAGGGTGAAACAGATCGCCAGCCCAAGTTGGATGCTTGAGAGAAGTGCTCAGGGCTGGTGCACTGGGAAGACCCAGAGGGATGGGAAGGGGAGGGAGGCGGGAGGGGGGATCGGGATGGGGAACACATGTAAATTCATGGCTGATTCATGTCAATGTATGGCAAAAACCACTAAAAGTAATTAGCCTCCAACTAATAAAAATAAATGGAAAAAAAAAAAAAAAAACCCTGATATGGTAAGGGCATGAATCAGTTACTTAGAAATGTAATTTGTGTGAAGCTATTCAGTGAGATGTGTCATTTTATTAAGTATTTCAAGGGTGAATTGAGTTTTCCGGTCTATCTTAGAAAAGAAGGGTCAAGTTCAGAGCACCTGTGGAGGACTAAAGCTGACCTAAAAGAAAGATGGAAGCCAGCCTCAGAAATATAACCAAATAATTGGGACCATGATGGCATTAGCAAAGTTTAAGTGAAAGGACCAAATCTCCCAATTATCTAGGAAGTTTCAAGAAAGAATAGAGATGGCAGCTCTAACAAATTTCATTCCAAAAGCAGTTAAATGCCCACAGAGAACAAGATGGTGCCCTTTGATCTCACCCATTTGGTGAAGTTTCCTGCCAACTTCTGCATTTGCAGGACCACATTATCATACTAAACTGACACTGAAAATTACTAATGGAGAACATTCTTGGGATTCAGACAGATGCGTGACATGAGAGTAGATGGGACCAACTTGTACATTCACTGGATCTGCTCAGAGCTTAAGCCAGCGCCTCCAGTGGGGAAGCCTAAATCTCCATAAGGACCACAGAGCTATCTTCTGGGGGACTCAAGGGACAAAGCTTTCTATTGACCAAGGTCAAGACTCTACAAAGTTTCAGGGGACAGCCTTCTCACCAGGCCTTAGCTCCTAGCAAGAGGATATTTCTTGTCCAGTTTCTAAAATAAGAATGAAAGGGTAGGAAAAGGGATTTAGAATAACAAAGAAAAGGTGGCTCTTAAATACAATCCGTCTGCCTTTAGAGTTTAAGGAAGCCCACATGTTTTCCCTTCCACTGACTGATGGAGATAGTTCCTATCAGTGTATAAGCACCAGATACAGGGCTCCCTGGTAACTAGTTGTAAAATATTTTAGATTTCTATGACACTATACACACAGTGTATATACTTACCCTATTTAAGCAGCCATAATTTAGCAAGTTTCTTATATATTAAAAAGATCCCAGTTAAAATGGAACTCTTACATCACTGATGAGGTATAATTTGGAATAACTTCTCAGCAGAGCAATTCAGCAATATTTATCTAAACTACAAATGTATATCTGACTCAATGAGTCTACTTCTAAGTATTTAACATGACATATTGTAAATGTGAAAAATGATCATGCACAGGGTTATTTAATGAAACATCACACTAGAAAATGAACAAAAACAATTTAAAGGTTCATCAATAAAAAAACTAAATAAATACACTATGGTACAACCATACAATGGATTTCACAGCCTTAAATAGGAATAAAGAAGCTCTCTATGTGTAAGTATGCTATGACTCCCAAGGTAACTAAGCAACAAACAGAAGCATATGTTAATTAAGATAATGATGATGATAGGAAATGCGAAACAACATATGAAGTAATCTTACCAAAAAATCAACTTGAATTGATCAAGCTCTAGATCTAATTACCATTTTACACAAAACGCAGGGTATAAAGGAATACCATGGGGATGCAATTAGCAAAACTAGAGGGTGAAAAACTCTACAAGATAGAGACCCAGTTTTTTTACAAGTAAAATATAAAGGAAACAAAAATAAAGAAAAAGGAAGAACCCACAGGTTAAATGAAACTTAAAAGACATACTAGTTTACTGTTAAGACGCTGTAAGATGGCAATATTCCCAAACTGATCTACAGATTTGAGCAATCTCTATAAAAATTCCAGCTGCCTTTTTCATAAAAATTGACTAGTTGATCCCCAAATTCAAACAGAAATGTAAGGGACCTCAAGTAGACAAAACTATCTTGAAAAAGAATAAACGTGGAGGACTAACACTTTCCAGTTTCAAAACTTCCTACGAGACTAGAGTGATCAAAACTGCATAGTTGGGGCTTCCCTGACAGTCCAGTGGTTAGGCCTCTGCGCCCTCACTGCTGAGGGCCCTTGTTTAATCCCTGGTCAGGAACTAAGATCCCACAAGCCGTGGAGCACAAACAAACAAGTCAAATGTGTGTGGTAACAGCATAAGAACAGCTATATAAATCAATGGAAGAGAAAAGACAGTCCAGAAACAAACCCATACATGTTGTTCAACTGATTTTCAACAAGTGTCACAACAATTCAGTGGAGGAAAGTCCTTTCAAAAAACTTGAGTCAAAAAACTAACACAAAATGGGTCAAAGATCAAAATGTAAGAGCTAAAACTATGAAACTCTTCAAAAAAATTTAAGTGTAAATCTTCATGACCATGAATTAGGCAATAGCTTCTTAGATATGACTCTTAAAAGTACAAGCAATCAAACAAAAATAAATTGATGGCATCAAAATGTAAAACTTTTGTGCTCCAAAGAACACTATCATGTGTTCTTTCTCTACAACCCACAAAAAGAGACAATATTTGTAAATCACCTCTCTTATAAGTAGTCTAGCATCCAGAACATAAAAAGAACTCTTATAACTCAGCAGTAAAAAGACAAATAAGCCAATTCTAAAGTAGGCTCAGGATATGAGTATATATTTCTCCAAAGAAGATAAACCAAAGGTCATTAAGTCCACAATGCCAACATCACTAGTCATTAGGGAAACTCCAATCAGAACTACAATAAAGTATCACACTTCATATCCACAGGATGGATATAAGAAAGACAGTAACAAGTGTTCTATTTTTCTTTTCTTCTTTTTTTGTGTGCCACATGACATGTGAGATCTTAGTTCCCTGACCAGGGATGGAACCCATGCCCCCTGTGTAGAAATGCAAAGTCTTAACCACCAGACCACCAGAGAAGTTTCTGTAATGAGTATTGATAAGGAAGTGAAGAAACCGGACCCTTACATATACTGCTGGTGGTATATAAAAATGGTGCAGTGACTGTGGAAAACAGTTTGGCAGTTCCTGAAAAAGTTAAGCATAGATTTACTATATGACCCAGCCAATTCCACAACTAGGTATATACCC